GGTCGGTTCATGGATGTTTATCTGGACGATATCATAATCTACTCCGCGACACTGGAAGACCACAAGAAGCACGTTAAGTTAGTAATTGACGTTCTGAAACGAGAGAAACTATACTTGGGCGAAAACAAGCTCCAGTTTCTGAAGGCCGAACTGAAGGTATTGGGGCGCGTGATTACAGACCAAGGAATCCGCATGGATTCCGAGAAAGTAGACACTGTGGTGAATTGGAAGACACCCACGAACCGGGACTTGCTTCGAGGCTTCCTGGGCTCGGTAGGCTACCTGGCGGATGACTTGGCACGGGTACGCGTGCCCATGGGGGTCCTGCATGGCTTGACTGGGGACACAGTTCCGTTTCGCTGGGGCTACACGCATCAGCGCGCGTTCGAGGATATAAAACGCATTGTGTCTGACCTGAGGCACCACCACAGAGTGCCCCTGGATTACGGGCCGGACGCGGACCCTATCTTCCTAGTAACGGATGGCTGCGCCACGGGCGTTTCAGGTGTGGTGTGCCAAGGCCCGGATTGGAAGAGCGGGAAGGTGGCCGCCTTCTACTCGGCTAAGCTGAACTCAGCCCAGCAGAATTATCCGGTGCACGAGATCGAGATGCTGGCAGGCGTGGAATCGATGCTGAGGCACCGGGATATCCTACAAGGATGCCGGTTTCAATGGGTGACTGATCACAAGGGATTGACGCACCTTCTGAGCCAGCCTAACCTCTCGGGCCGTCAGGCGCGGTGGGTGGAGAAGATTTCAAGTTTTGACTTTGAAGTGGTGTACGTTCCGGGCCCAGAAAACGTGTTGGCCGACGCGCTATCTCGAATGTATTCGAATGAGACGCCTGGGACAGTACGAGGAAGGTCCGAATACACTTACCACGATGTGATAGACAACGACGTGCTGGGCGTGCACAACGTATCCATGCCTGTTTTGTCCGGTCTCGAAGCAATGGCGGTCTCGTCTGACCGGGTCCTGAGGTCAAAGACGCGTGCGGACGCTGAAGCGGCGAAGGCACTGCTGGACAAATTGAAGGGCCCAACAGCGGATCGGATACAGGAGGTGGCGGCGACGCCCAGAGCGAAACAGAGAAAAGAGGTTCTCGCCCCACGGGACGAGAAGGAGGGCGGGACACCAGATAGAGAACAAGAGAAAAACACTGAGAGAACTGGCGACCAGCAGGAGGGCGGGTTACAGCCACCTGCCAGTGAATTTGATCCCGCTGATCGGCCCTCGGACCTCGAGAACGTAATGAAATCGCGGATCAATGAGACAGATCCGTCACTGATACCGGTCATACGCCAAGGAAAGGACGGACTGGACCTGGTAGAGTTCATTCGGGGACGCTTCGGGGAAGACAAGTTCTTCAAGGATATAATAGACAAGCCAAAGGAATATAAGAACTTTGAGGTGAAAGATGGATTGGTATACATGAGGGACAAGGATCACATTGTTCTATGTATTCCCAAACTAGAATACAACGCCAGATCTATCCGGGAAGTGGTCATATCAGAAGCGCACTCCGTTCTGGCGCATCTAGGCGCTCGGAAAACGGTAGACTACATGCGCGAGCATGTCTGGTGGAAAGACCTGGTCAACGACACTCGATCTTACTGTGAATCATGTTCAGTATGCAAGCGGAGCAAACCGAATAATCACGCACCTTATGGATTGCTCAACCCCTTGTCCACACCTCAGCGGCCATGGGAAGCTATCGGCGTCGATTTTGTGGGGCCGCTGCCTAATTCCAAGAATAGGGATAGCGTCTTCAATTCCATCGCGGTAGTCGTGTGCCTGCTGACTGGAATGGTTCACCTAATACCTTGTCGAGTGAACTACACTGCTCGACAATTTGCTGAGCTGATGTTCGAGCACGTGTACAAGCATCATGGCTTACCAAACGCAATAGTGAGCGACCGAGATGTGTTATTCACTAGCACGTTCTGGCAGCGGCTGCATGAGCTAGTAGGGACAGAACTGAAGATGTCGAGCGCATACCACCCAGAAACCGACGGAGCGACGGAACGCGCTAACAGAACGGTGACGCAGCTCCTGAGGCAATGTGTGAGTGACAAACAAACAGATTGGGTCACTCGCCTGCCGGCCGTCGAGTTCGCCATGAACATGGCCCGGTCAGAAACCACCGGGTACTCACCGTTCTTCCTGAATAATGGGATGATGCCGAGATCGTTGCTGTGGGAGTCCAGCAAGTCGAAGGAGTTCCCAGGTATCGCCGCTTTCCTGCTTCAACGACGCTTGGCGATAATGTCCGCACACGACGCTATAATAGCGTCCCGGGTGAAACACATCAGGACGGCAAACCGGAAGAGAATACCGGCCCCGTTCCTGGAGGGCGACCTGGTGTATCTCAGCACGAAGAACATACACTTTGAGAAAGGGCTGGCCCGGAAGCTGCTTCCGAAATTCATCGGGCCTTACCGTATCACACGCGACTTTGGGAACTCATCGTTCCGAGTGGATTTACCCCCTAACCTGGTCCAGAGGGGCCTGCACGACGTCTTCCATGCGTCTCTGTTAAGGATACACGTGCCTAACGATGACCGGCGCTTTCCCGGCCGAATGGAAAATCAATTGAATGTGGCCGACGCGGCGACAGATGCCGAATGGGCTGTGGATCGAGTCGTCGGACACGCAGGAAGTCGACGTCGAGCCCTCTTCGAGGTCAAGTGGAAGTCGGGGGACCTGACTTGGATGCCCTACCAGCAAGTGAGTAAGCTGAACGTTCTACAGGACTATTTCGACGTGCTGGGGATCAACCACATATCCCAATTGCTTAAGGGGATTAAGGAAGCCCCGCCGATCGAATTACAGGTCGGGAGCACGCGGATTGCCTGTATAGGGGGCGGACAAGATGAAACAAATAGGGAGGAGGGGGCGAACCTGTGCTCCCACCAGATCTCTCCTTCCCCTGCGAGAACCCGTCTACCGATGCCTGCTTCCCAGACTCCCAACGCGTACGTGGGCAACGTGGTCGATGGCCGGACCAAAGCGGACGAACCACTTACCCCACAACACCTCGAGTTTAATTCGAAGCACAAGGGGACCCTGGAATGGGTCACCCCCAGCTTCCTGCTCGTTCACATGGTCGACGGCGACGCTATCCTCACGGCCCACCAGTTCAAACAGTGCCTCCTCTGGAACGAGGCCGTTAACGATCCCGACTTCGATGGCACGGTGTATGGTCGGGGGCCGGTGGGTATTGCCGAGCTCGGGGCGTCATGCAACCTGTTCGACAACAAGAGCTGGTCATTCGCTTCAGTGGACGAGAATGGTGGGATTGTGTTTGCCGAACAATACGTTCCCACGGTTCATGATGGGCTCTGCTCGGACGAGTTCCTGGCCAGCCGCGTTGCCCCGGGGATGATCACCATCACCATCTCCGAATACGATGAGGGCCGCGAGGCTATCATAGGACGTGACCGTGCTATCCGGCGTGCGAGGGAGAGACGCCTTGCCGAGAAGGACATGCCCGTGTCGACGGAAGACTACGCGACTGGGGTGAACGGAGGAGCGATGATTGCGAAGCGCCGCCAACGCATCGAAGAAGCGAAGGCGAATCGTTTGGCCGCGGGAGGAGCGGCGGCGGGGAGTGGGGCGGGGGCTGACGAAGAGATGGTTTGAGCTCGCCGCAAGCGTCGAGCTGGAGGGCGTATGTGACGGATTGATCTCTTTGATTGATTACCTGACTCTGATGACTCCCCATCATTGGTTGTGATTATTTACGTAGATAGTTCGATCGGAGTATAAGTACATAGAGGTGTACGATCGGGACACCAGTCAATTTTCATTGCTTATCCCTGTCACTCGTGGATTGACTACCCAGAAAACCTTGTGTCGGAACTCGTTCTAGGACGCTTCCGCCACAGGAGGTTGTGGAGGCCATAAACCATCCCTTCAGCAACATCTCATTTTTGCGTGTGGGCACAGCTACCTCATGCTCAATCTCGAACTAATATATATACTGCTGCTCTATGCACCTGAGGAGTGCTCATGTGCTCAAATCCCGAATTTTGTGTGCCCAGTGGTCTGCCATTTGCAAGCAAGAAATACAAGCTTTTGTGAGCTAAGACATTGTATGAGGCTTTATACTGACTACTACAGCACATATAAACACTCGGGTCAATGCCTAGCCTACCATGCTGGCTGTGGATGAATGGCTGGGCAGAGTACCAATTAGGAAGGCGCCTCCAGGATGGCCTCCGATCAGGGGGGGTAGGGGGTGGTTTGATGGCCTCCGGAGGGGGCCTCGAAGCCATTTTACGTAATAATTGGAGGTCCCTGGGGTGCAGCCAGTCCGATATTTTTTCAAGTCTGGGCAGGAACCTTGACGGCGTGCAATTCTTGCGCAATCCTCATCGTCTCGAAAGCAACACGCCCCTCGAGAATTCCACGCTTTCCCTCCAAACATCTGCGACAAGCAAACACCCAGTCGGAGTGTAATGCTAGATTATTGCATGGTACTAGTGGCTCATCAAAGAGACACGAAATTCAGGAGAAAAACTATCAGCGAGGACAAGTGGGGAGCACCGATCTGCTGTCCCTAGGCATTAGTCGCATAGTCCTAGATAGAAATACATTAGTGTATTCAACGTGGGGATGCGAGTTTCCTGTTTACGTAGGAGATTGGAAGAAAGGATTAACAGGAAGTGATAAGATCAGTGGGTGTTCGGGGGAAATACCAATTTCTCTGGTGGTTCTATCGAACCCGTGGGCATAATTAAAAAGGCATCAAAAGGCTCAGGTAATCAACAAGCTTGCTTCTTCTTCTCGATTGCTCTGCATCGAGCCAAGAATTGTTCAGTCTGAGTTGTCTAGTCTGTTTGTCTCGGCACTGATGCGGACCTGCGAATCAACAAAGGATTTGACCCAAATCGTCAAAAGGAGGCTCAAAAGGGCCGAAACAGGTTGCGAGTGAAATCAAATGCTGGCGGAGTCCGGACCGGTCTTGTGACAATCACAGATTCTGTCACAGTGGCCATGCACCTGTGACTTCTCATTGGATGCTCCCTTGGCTCTCGTTTTCGAATGTTGCCCGCATTGGCAAACCAGGAGGATGGAAAAGAGGTCTGAAAACTAAAAGACAGTGCGTTAATCTTTGACGCATGTTGCATTCACTCGCTGGACGTCACGCCAGCTCACGCGTCCTGAGCACGCTCGATCCGCGACACATCCTCCCCTCTGACCTCGTGGACCTCTCTGGCCGGATCAAAGCGCGAATCACACTCTCCGACCGCCCTCAGCATGAGCAATCTACCTCACCTGCTGTCTTACTGTATGGGCCGGTCTCTAGCCCACCTTACCGTGCCCTACCCTTCCCACCCAATACACGCGGCTTCCTTTACTGGGACCGCCGACTCGACATCTCCCGCTCAGGCCTCGCCGGAGCGCTCAAGTTCCGTCTCATTAACGGCAACGAGCCATCGGACCCGGCGCATGCGTTCGCGTTCGGCCACGACTTGCTGCTTCCCGGTGCGGACAGGCGCGTGTGGGCGCGCGTCCTGCCGGCAATAGCGACGCGGGTGCAGTACGGGGAAATTGCGGAATACCTGCTGCGAAGCGACGTTGTGTCATCTGACGACCTGCAGCTGTGTCGCCAGGCGTTCCCGCCGCGCACCGCGCTCTCGACTAGGCTGAGGCTGCTGTACCGCCTCGGGCAGAGCTTTCTGTTGGATATACACTCGCCCAAGCTACACCTGCGGGCTGTTAGTCCGCGTCAGAGGGTTGTCTTCCCGGCTGCGCAGATCAATTTGTATCAAGGGTTTGGGAAGATGGATTGGCCCGCGTGCTTCGTGCGTGCCCATTTTGAGCGGGTGCAAGGCGATTCCTCATCTTCTTCACAATTGCTGATGGGACTTCGGATTGATTCGGTGTTGACGCCGTACAATGTCGCTGCACATCCGGGAGTTCTCTTCGCTCCGCCTGTAGCTGGCGAGTTGTTGCAAGTCCGGGACGGCGGGACGCTTAGGCCCTGGGTTGTTTACACTGAGCGTTATCGGGGGGGATTTGAGGCACTGCTGCAAGAGGAGAATGCACATTGGCTTGCTGACAACGTTCGGTAGCGTTCCGTTCCATTTGGGAATGTCATTGATTATGTGTCATTTGCACCTGGGCTGATTCGTGTTGCTCAAGTAGATGTAGGAGAGAAGCCGAGAGCCATCGGGCCACGTCCTCCAAGGCCTCGGTCACTCGTTGCATGACTGACATCCGGCATTCAAAGAGACGCAAATACGCGCGTGCACGGACAACAATTGAAGTCAGATGGTTCAGATGTAGAATCCGGCTCTGCTCCGTGCTTCTCACGCGCGGTGTTCCAACTCTCGAATAGGGAATATTGAACGACGCAAACTCGCTCAAGTCTCGTTACGCGTTGCCCGGTGCGTCGGTTGGCCCTACATCTGCGCGGACGCGTGTTTACATCGTCTTGAGCATGGCACAGTATCAGACATGAATTCAGCGTGGCAACGTCATCGTGATTAGTACTGCTCGTTCTTCGCCCCCATTACTCCGCTGCATCGTTGACAGACTGGAGACGGGCCTGTGGCTGCCTCATTCCGGCAGAAGGCTCTTGCTGGGGGATATATAAGCCGACGAGGACGAAGCTCCATTCATTCTCCAACGCTTCTCTGAGTTTCGATGGCAAACACAACCCAATCGTATGTCGTGACTGGTGCGAACCAAGGTTTGTTGGCTCTTCTCGTGATGTGTTGTCTTGGACTAAGGACATTGCTATTCTTGTGCAGGTCTGGGATATCACACCGTGCACCAAATTGCGCAGAAACCACACACACTGGTATTCCTCGGCGCACGGAGGATATCCGCTGCGCAAGAGGCCATCGCTAGCTTTGCATCCGATATCCATCCCACTTCGGCTGTCATCCCCGTCTATATGGACCTCACCAACGACAAGACTGTGACAGATGCGGGTGTATTCGTTGCAGCAGCTTTGAAGGAGCGTGGTCTGTCGGGCTTGGATGCGCTCGTCAACAAGTATGCAGGCCGCATTTTCAACGGTTTTGTTTCCCAAGAACTGACAACGACGACAGTGCGGGAATTGCTTCCGGCACAGACCTGCTCATCCTCACAACGAACATCGCCGGCACGATAGCGGTGAAGAACACGTTCCGACCGATGCTCAAGCGAGGCAGCAGGATCGTCAACGTGTCTTCCATGCTTGGCTCGCAGGCACTGAATGAAGCACGCCCCCGCATCCCTGTCTCGATCTACAAGACCTACGCTGCGAGCAAGGCCGCGCTCAACAACCTCACACTCCAGTGGGCGTTCGAGGAGGAGGAGTCCCAGTCGGGCATTCGCGTCATGGCGCTCTGTCCAGGTAAGTGACTGCGAGACGGGTTTGGCAACGCCGATGGCTAATTTTTTTCCGCCACCAGGCCTCACCGCAACAGCCGCAAATGCGTATATCGAGCACGGGTCTCCGCCATCTGAGAGCTGCAAGATTATTGTCGACTCGGCTGTGGGCACACCTGAAAATGGAGTCTTCTTGGATGTTAACGGTGCAGTCATACCATGGTAGTCTGAGATGCGATTCGGTTATCTTTGAATGCTAATTCTCTGCTACGAAAACACGACAGTCCATACTGCAGGTCATGTGTAATCCTTGCTTGGGATCGACGAGTCATTATAATGGTATATGTTGTGAAAATGCGAGCGAGTCACAAAAGAATAGGACGAGAAGGACGGGACGCTGAAAACTAGGTCACCCAGCCGAAGATAAGAAGGGAGACCGGACGGTGAGAACTGGCGGCCGGAGATTTGGAGGACGGCGTCAGTGAGCCGATGTCAACGGGATATCTCATGCAGTGGACCTGTTCGAAAAATGTGCAATGTTCGTGGTAAGACGGAGCTGTCGCAGTCGATGGCCCCCCCAACAGAGCGCAGCATGTCTCACTGGGGAACCGTCGCGGAAATTGATGCGTTGTGGCTGACACATATAGCCAATTCCAGACTGAAGGTGTAAACTATGGATCCGAAAAGAGGAGGGCACATGTATTGCATATGGTAAAACAAGGAAAGTAAAGCGAATTAAAACGGTATATCCTGATTGAAGAATGCGAGACCCCAAAGAAATGAGACGATTGCGTTTCCATCCCCCTGCCGAGGATGAAAGTGGAGACGGGGCGCTCAGTAGTGGCCACCGGAGAGCTGGAAGACGCCGTCAGTCGGCCAGTTTCAATCCAGCACCCTAACGCACCTTGGCCTTGTCCAGCGCGATCGAGTGGCCCTTGCCTGCAGCCACAATGTCCAGCCCAGAAAAGTCCCATGTGCCAGTGCAAGCTCCGCAGTCGACCACCAGACCGTATGCGTTGCTGGTCCCAGACACCGTCGTCGGCGAGCCAGAGAAGCTCACACCCGAGATCGGTCCCCCAGTTCCAGGCTTGCCGTTATTGGCGGGGTAGCTCTGCGTGATCAGAACGCCGTACGACGTGATCCCAGACAGCTTGTTGCTGCGGGGGGCGATGAGCAAGGTACAGCACGCACGCGTGCGGATACACCGAGACGCACCCATCGTAGACCACATTCGCGACCTTCGCACCCGTCGCCGACGCCTGCACCTTGATGCGGATCCCGTACAAGCTGTTCGTCACCGTGTTCCGCAGCGCCTTGAAGTTCGTCACGCTCTTCCCAGACGCCATCGACCCGATCGAGATCCCGTGCCCGCCCGCGCAGCTGTTGTCCTCGAACACGACGTTGTTGCCCGCATTCAGCGCGAGACAGTCGTCCTGGTTCTTGACCGTGCACGACGAGATCGTGACGTCGTCGGCGCTCACGTCAAACGCGTCGGTGTTGTGTCCGCCCTTGGAGTCGCCGAGCGCTGAGCAACATGTTGATCAGCTCAGAAACCCAATGATGACAAGCACGCGCGACCGAGCACGGCCACTCACAGTTGTCGACCGTGACATGCGAGATGGCCGCCGCACCGCCGGTCGTGCCGACGGAGATCGCCTGCGCCGGCGAGTTGAGGACGGTGAACTGCTGGAAGGTGCCGTAGCCCTTGACCCTGAAGCGCGCGAGTCCAAGGTCAATCCCCGCGGCCACAGTGGATGCGCCAGTGGACCACTCACTTGATGAACGGGTGCGGCTTGAACGAGCCACCGTTGGTTCCCTTGCCGTCCCAGTACGAGGCACCGTTGCCGTCGATCTTGTGGTTCCCGCCGTTGAAGTTGATCGCGGGGGTGTTGAACGTGAAGAGAGGACCAGGGGCTGGGAGCGAGTGATCGACTGTCAGTCCCAGCGGATTGCCCATTCCGAGAAACTTTGCGTACTCGTCGTCTTCGCAAACACGACATCGCCGGCCATGGTGACCGTCGCGCCTTTGGCAGCCTGTAATCGCGCGTCAGATGAGATGACCCAGGCCAGCTACCGCGCCGACACGTACGGCGATCGTGATCGTGTTTCCAGCAGGCACAGTGAAGCCCTGGATGACGACGTTGGAGCATCCGCTCAAGTTCTTCGAGCTCGCCACGCTGTTGACCGTGCAGGACGCGCGCTTGTCGTTCTCGATGACGGCCAGGTTGCCCGGAAGCGCGAGCGCGACACCGATGAGGGCAGACAGCTGTAGGAAGGAAGTGATCGAAGGCATGTCGAGGAGTTGGAGGAGCTGGAGGAGAAGGGCGAGGGGAGGATGATGTTGTGCTGAGCCTGCGGAGGGCCTATTTTATACAGACTCGCATCGCATCCTCTCCGAGGCCCGGCAACGATGCGCCATATTCCTCGACGGCTCGACCCGTCAGGTCATGAGTCGTCTCGTTACTGAGTCCGAGTCCAAGTCCGAGAGTCGTTGGCGATGGTAGGGTAACGGGTTTGGGAAGGACCAGATCTTGCACGTGGCCGCAAATTAGACCCAGGCCGCCAATCGGAATCCATCAGATTGATCATGATCCCCGCTATTATTCTTCAGTATGGAGGCCTGGAGAGCCCTGCTGACAAGCGAGAGTAAGCGATGTTGATGGATGATGCCGGGACCCCGGGATGTTACTACGTGACAGAACGTGTCAAATGTACGAGTCACGAACCACATGCATGTCGATAAGGGTACATGAGCGAATTGGCAGAGAAAACCAAAGCACACTACAAGCAGGTGAGTAGATATCACCCATATCACGTTGCGTATCGCACATTGGCCATCAAATTCGAGTTTTGTCAATTTAAGAGAACTTAGCAGACGCTGGGAACATATAAGAATGGATACAATTTTTATGAAATTGGAAGAAAAATAATGATCCCTAGGCGCCTGAACAGGACGCAAGGGACGGGTCATGCATAAAGATATTTACTTAGCTTACATTCCAGCTGCACAGGATAATTTTCCAAACGGAGGCCTCTGGTTCTCATCATATATGGCCTCTAGATAGTCTAGGAACCCAAATGACGGCTCGTAGTCCCCTCCATAGACGTGTGGGCCGTCCAGTACATTTCATTGAGAGGTTTTCACGCCTTGATACAGCGTCCTAGATCAGGATGCGAGATCCAGGGGATACTGATGAGCACGGCGGGGTACTTCCCACTCTCCACCCACTCGATCACCTGCTCTGAGGTAATTCCGCCGTTAGGGATGAGCAGCGTGTTATCAAGGAACGGCGCGTAGGTCTCCCACACGTCGTGAGGCGTCCCGCGTTTTGTGGGGCTATAGACTCAAGACACTGCAGGAGGCAAACATATACCAATCCCAGCTTGTCGATTTTGGTGAGCAGGTAGCTGTAGGTCTCAATGGTCTTGTCGAGCGGGAAACCCATGTTGTTATATCCCGCACCTGGAAGACAGGGCCTGATATCGAAATACTGATGAGGGCAAATGAGCACATACCAGAGTTGAACTTGAACGTCACGTTCGGATGCCAAATGGGGTGGAAAACCTTCAGAATCTCGAGCGGGAACCCCGTATGGTTCCCCAGCTAGAATGCGCTGACTAGTGGTAGCCATGTGAATGTCTGTATCGCGATATCCCAGTGATTTGACTGTGAATATATTGGGGGTTGAGTAAGATGCTCTAGAATCCTCTGAAAATGGAAACTGCGCACGAGCGCTGGAGGCTCGCTTCGAAGATCACAGGGGTCTAGAAAGACCGCAAAATACCCATGCTAGATAACAAGCCGGAACCCAACATATCGGACAACAAAGACAATGATGAAGCTTCCGACCATGGCTAAACAACACGAGACGCGGCCCCGACTGGCCCTGGCCAAGCCAACCACCCTCTTCTCCCCCTATGACTATTTCTCATGTCCCAGGCCCAGGACTTATGTTTATGTTGCGCTTCGAAACCCACACAGAACCCCAAACAAACAACACCCGTGACACCAAACTTTCACACTCCCAACAGCTGAATAGCCCAGCCGGTACCCCCTTCCTCGCTGCCTCCAGGCACCGCGTCTTAGTACGTAGTTACTTGTTGCGGAATACAAATGCAGATTCAAACAAAAATCGAAGATCACATGATTTTATTAAGCTACTAACTCTACTTATCTACAAGCCCAGTCATTTGGAGAGGAAGACAGCATGGAAAGATGGCACGGTCATAGAGTACTTAAAGTTGCACCAATCCGGCTCAAATTTGCAAGGGACAGGTAAATATGCATATGAAACATTACTATCAAGCTACAGAATAAAAGGATACAAATTGAGTGAATACAGAGCCTCCTGCAGCGGCCGTTTCAAAGAGTTTGTCCTTGTTTACTGCAAACTGGCAGCCTGTAGTGAATGTTTGCTCGCTTCGCTCACAAAAATTATTCAGTGAACGAGAGAACCAGCCAGCTACCTATGAGAAAGCTAAATCGACTCGACACTGAACGTTTCAACACGTACTGTCACGGCACGTTGCTGTCTGGGGTCCCGGCATCATCCATCAACATCGCTTACTCTCGCTTGTCAGCAGGGCTCTCCAGGCCTCCATACTTCAGCCTTCGTGGTTATCAGACCGCTGTGGCCTACTTTCGCTGTTTTGAATTGCTTGCAGAGTCATATTCTTGCAAAAAAGACGAGATTCTCTCATGAGATTATTGCAAACATTATCCACCCATTTTACCATTAGCGAAGTACGAGCGGCCCAGGTTGCCATGCCATCATCCTGGTGCTGAGATGTACCTAGGTTCGCTTAGCCCGTCGGTAACCTCATGCCAAAATGGCTTCTTATTCTCCGAAGCAAATGCATGACCTTCCATAAGCGTGATTAAGAATTGCTGGGGCATAACGAGTGCCTATACTACAGACGCATTCAAGTCCCCGTCTTCCTCCCAACTCACGAAATGCACGGAGGGGGAAAATCCTGTTGCAGCAAACATATATATGATCAGAAATCGGAGAGTGACAAGGCGGAATGTGTCCCCTTCGAGCATCTGAAGAAGGTCCGAACGGTCCAGGGTCGACCCAGCCCACCTGAACTGTGAGCTTGATTCCGAAGCCGTCCAGTCTGAAGAATCGTCGTCTTCGGTCACGCTTAACCAGTGTCAACGACGGTTGAATAATCCTGCTCGCTTCATAACCGCCATGGGAGCCCCAGACTCGGTGCTAAGATACAAGTCGGTTGTTTCTCGGGTCCAGACACGACTCGGCACGAAATGAACTTCTGCCCGAACATCGCAAATACACGAATATCGCGTATACGAGCAAAATAGAGCTCATGCGACGGAGCTCTCAACATTTCAAGTTTC